GGGGGGTGGGGGCAGGGGGCAATTGTCCCCGAATCCTGCACCGCACAGATGACCTGCTCACACCGGTCTCCACATCCTGCCTTCGCAGGGCTGAGAAGACAGGACGCAGCCCCTGTCAGACGGCTTTGCTGTATGTGTCACTGGCATTTTAGAAATGAGGAGCTCACTCTCCCCCCAGAGGCTCAGTGTACAGCCCCCCACCGAGTGTGGGCCCAAGCAGCTTCTGGCACACAGGTGGTCTCGGACGGGAAACCTGCTCACCGTGGCTTCCTCCTTCCTTCCTTCCCTTCCGCCCAACAGCGGTCAGGAAACACTCGGGCCTGCATTCCCACTCGCCGGTTCCAGAGGCCACGTGGACTTCAGTAGGCATCGCAGACAGAAGGTGTGCGACAAGGAACTCCTGACCATCCCCTCCCCGCCACTCAGGCCCCTGCTTCTCTCGCGGTGCTCCTGTAGGTTAACTGCATCCTCCTGGCTGTTGAGGCCAAAGAACTTTGGACTTAACCCATCACTCCTCTCTTCCACCCTAAATCCAATCCCCTAGAAAATCCTGTTGGCTCTTCCTTCAACATTGGTCTAGAAGCTGGCTCCTTCTCACCCCCACCAAAGTCCTGGTCCACAGTGCCAGGTAGTGCCTGGATTACTGTGCCATCCTCCCCTCCCCCGCCCCTCACCTCCCTTACACTGTCTGCTCCAATATCACCTCTTCTGGCCCCTCACTCCAGCTTGCTTTCTCCCCATGGCACTATTACCACCTGCCATTTCCTATTATGTGTTTTGCATACTAAAATGCCCAGCAGGCAGAGATATTCACTGATATGCTTCAGCGCCTAGGACAGTGTCTGGACCTGATATTCATTAAGTACTTGTGGAATGCTTAACTGATGAGTAAGGTCAGAACCTGATCCCCACCCACGCCCTGCAGGGCCAGGCGAGGCTCCTGGCATCCTTCCGTGCTCCCTCCACTCCTCCTGAAGGACAAGCTCATGGCCAGGGACGGCCTGGAGCAGCTCAGACATCCAGAGGCTCAGGCATGGCGACCATCGTAGTTTATGAGGCAGGGAGTCCGTGCACAGAGGGGGCAGCCTTGGGAAGGGACCATCAACGGACTTGGTAGTGGGGACCACGTGGCTCCCAGTGTGTGGACTGGGGACCCAGGGCAGGCCTCTTAGCCCATGACCCAAGGCAAAGCTCTCCGGGAGATACTTTCTATCCTCAGTGAATGAGGTGGTTAGTGCTTCCTGAGATGGCTGTATGTGCATGTGCGTGCCTGAGTCTTGTAATATGGACAGGGCCCTTTTCCTATCTTTACTATTTTAGCACAGCTCAGAGGGATGTCCAGGGCAGTGGCAGCTGCGGAAGGTTTCTTGAGTCGTGGCTAAGTGGAGGATTCCTTCACACCCCTGCTTGGAGCTTGAGGTGCAGTGAACACTGGGGTTCCAGCTCCCACTTCAGGTGCCCCCCTTCAGTACCAGCTTCTCAGCATTAGGGTATTGTGCTGCTGACTTAACTGGAATCCAGGTGTAGCCCTCACAGGTCCCAGGGACCTGGGAGCCTACTCAAGGAATCCGTTCATCAACACTCATCATTGTAGTTATCATCGTGCACTTGTTATAATTTAAGTGGTCATTATTTTTATTAAGTTCTGTGTATTTTTCTGTTCATTCCTGTATCACACAGTTAGATTTTCACCAAGTTATAGGGCATGTATATCTCTATTTAACATTGGGCTATCATAAACATGCCCTATAAATATAGATTTTCACCAAGTTATAGGGCATGTATATCTCTATTTAACATTGGGCTATCATAAACATGCCCTATAAATATAGATTTTCACCAAGTTATAGGGCATATTTATGATAGCCCAATGTTAAATAGAGATATACAAAACATTCACTTTGGGGGGTCCCTGAAGAGCACCCCAAAGGGAAAAGCAGTCATACTCCAGGGTAGCTGGAGACCAAGGTGACAAAGAGGTCCTGTGACTCCTGATTGGGGCAACAGGCCACAGTGTAAAGAGCAGGAGATTCTGAAGGTTTTAGTCTCCCTTGCCGCAAATGAAAAATCCCATAATCAAAAGCCACAGGGTGGATGCTCCAGATTGCAGGAGGTGGATTTCAAATCGATCTGCCCCTCTGGGCACCTCTGTGTCCTCCAGAATGAGTAGTAGGAACTTTATTTTATGATGATTAATAATTTTTCAAGCAGCCTGGATAAGTCAGCTCTACCATTTAATCTGTGTCCTTGGACACTTTCCTCACCTGCACGCGGGCAGGGAGACACTATTAACTAAGAACATAGTAGTCACCGCTTAATAAACGCCTGTGACTACTCTTGTGTGCTAGGCACGGTGTGGTTTCCATGGGTGGGTGGGGGGGGCTCTGATACTTTTTCACTTGTATCCTTCCCTTATTTAGTATTTGCCACCTTCTAAAAATACCTTTATTTTTTAGAGAAGCTTAAAGGTCTCAGCAAAATGGAGAGGAAGGTGGAGAGAGGTCCCCTATGTTCTTGCTTCCCTTCCCCAAGCCTCCCCATTATCGGGGTCCCCCGCCAGAGTGGTGCATTTGTTACAATTAACGAACCTGCATGGACGCATCAGTAACACCCAGAGCCCAAAGTTTACGGTAGGCTCATGCTGGGTGGTGTACACTCCATGGGTTTGGACAAATGTGACCACACGTATCCATCATTAGAGTGTCACACTAACACCCTGCCTTAAAACCCGCTGGGCTCCACCTGGTCATCCGCTAAGTGCTTTTCATGTAGTAGCAGCATTTCTCAAAGCGTTCCACAGAATGCTAGCTCTGGAAGTTGCTCCCTATCCCTCCCCCCAAAAGGTTATGTGCCTTGCTATGGTTTATGTCCCTTTCCTGGAGATTTACAGCCCACCATGCCACAACTTCTCACAGCTTTACAGTCCTGAAGAAACTTTTGAGCCTTGTTGCCCCAGCAACTCCTGAGCACATCTGACTGAGGAACCCTCTGCCCCAGCACACCAGCTCGCGGGCATCCCAGCCATGCGTGCACACACTCCTTCCAGCCCCCACCCTCCGGGCACACAATGGCGGGGGGACGCTCTTCTTGGTCCCCTGGGTGAGTGGATTCCTAGGACTAGCTCTACCCAACGCATCATGAGTGAAACAAAACAGGTGACTTCACGGCTGGGCCATTAAGTGTCAGTGTGAGAACTTCCAGAACTTTCTTCCTTTCTGCTATGCTGACAGGCTTCAAGATAGTGGCTCCTGAAGTGAGGAGGTGGGGCATAGAGTTCCCAGGTGGCCAACGGTAGACACAAAATGGAGAAAAATACATTTCAATCACGAAGATGCTGGGGTTGTAGTCACAACTGGTCCCACAACTA